GAATGTGCTTTCATAAAACGGGTTGGAGAATGCAAGTTTAAAATCGAGAAAGGCTTCTGTCCGAATATGAATGTAAGTCGATATGACCAGTGCAACCGTGAGAACCTGAAGGAGCAATTTCATTCAGGTGGAAGCTCGATTCTATGTAAATAAGAAGTTGGAGCCGTTAATGTTCGAAGAACTGCGTAATTCTATCGGACGAGGTAGAATTTTCTAAGTTTTTCTTGATAATCTATTAAGGAACGTAAAGGACTTGATATTCAATGTTTCAGGGGTTGGTGGTTTTTTGCCTGCTGTACGGCAATTGGGCAACGTCGCGGCTTTGCCAGGAATTGTTGGGTTTTCCATCGGTCTTCCAGACATCCACTCTGGCTACGGATTTTCCATCGGCAATATCGCCGCTTTTGACTGCTCGAAAAAAGAGTCGGTCATTTCACCAGGTGCGTAGCCTTTTTTATTTGCGCATTATATCTCTTACGTTTTTCTTCGTGAATGATTTTGTTGAACTTGATTTTCTCCTTCTAAACACAGATTTTTACGTCTTCATTATGGTGATGAAATCGAGTCTTTGAGCTCTTGATCTCGAGTTTTTTTTTTCAAGCTTTCCAAATCAAAAGTCATGTTGCAGGAGGTGTGGGATTTGATATAAACTGTGGAGTGAGGCTGATCAGGACGAACTTATACGAGAAGGATGTAGCACCTGTCAAAGTGAGCAATATTCTTTGTATTGGAATCCGTCTTTCTATAATCTTCATCTGTATTCGAATTTTTTCCTCACCACACCATTTAGGAACAACTAACCCAGGCACTTTTTGACTACATCCCTGTGGGTGTTGGATCACGCGGTGCCATTCCTATGTCAGCGGCGGATCTTGTTGAGTAAGTTACCCTTGTCACTTTCCCTTCGAGTTCTTCCATCATGTCCTTTTAGCTGCTTAGAAATGGGTATGGACTGGACTTTACGGGAAGGCTATTCTTGGGCAGAAGACAAGGAGCATTGTGAGGAGTATGGTCGAATGTTGCAGGCAGACGCCACCAAAGTTTCTACCAGAGCTAAGAAACGAGGCCTTCCACAGGTAGATTCTCACGCCTTAGTCGATTTTTACCACAGATTTTT